AGAAAAAAAAAAAAAAAAAAGAAAGGTTATCAAGAGATGGGAATGAAGGAATTAACATGTGTTATTATATACATGTACCAACTTTGCATAAGGAATGTAAACATTATGTATTACATATATTACTAATAAACTAAAATATTTTTAATATTAACAATATTTTAATATTAACAATCATCTTATCCCCACTATAACCTGTGACTACACTGGAAGAGTAAGGAACTATGGTGTAATGCTCTTGTCACTTTGCACAGGCATATGAAAAACCTTGACTGAATACTATTTTTCTTTTAAACCACTTCAATTCCCAACTTTTTACTCAAATACAACACATATACCAAACAGTATAAAGAACAGCATACATCTCAGTAAATTATCAAGTGAATACAACCATTTATAGTAACAGTTCATTCATGAATGTTTCCGTTTGCTAACAATTCATTTCACAAACAAAGTGTTGGCAAAATTTTGCTTCCATTCACAAACTCCCCATAGGATGACAAACATGACCACAACCATTTTCCTCACACAAACACAAATAGAGCCATCTTTCCCCAAGTCATAAAACAAATCAAGTTCATAAATTGAGACACCACTGTAATGACCAGCTAGGATGCAAGGGTCAGGAAAAGAACAGCAGTAACACACACTCCAGATGCCTCTTTCCTGCACGATTCCCTTTAAAAAGCCCAAACATTTCAAAGAAAGACACTCAACCAACAGGGTATAACTGGTCTGCTGATTACAGAGAAACAAACATCCAAATTCTACTTCAAATGCTAAAAATACTTTTTTTTTGGGGGGTGGTACCGGGGATCAAACTTGGGTCCTTGCACTTGAGAAGCAGGTGGTGGAACCACTGACTACATCCCTGGCCCTAAAAATACTTTTTTTTTTTTTGGTTAAACACAATTTCTAATGAATTTTTAAACTATTGATTATAACCACATCTAAATTTTAAAAATAGTAATATTTATTCAGTCTACAGTGTCTTAGTGCATTTGGATTCCTGGTCCTTATGCAATAATATGAGAGTTTTAGGAGTCTATTATTTGGGATCTAGAGCTTTACAAATTCATACTTTGTAGTATGAGGAAGGGGAAATTTGCCAAATGAAACAAAGTTTTTCTTTAACAGCAAATCTAGGGGAGAAAAACTAAACTAGAATAAAATTACCTTTATTAAGAAGGGTTTACACCATAGTTCCTTACTCTTCCAGTGTATTCACAGGTTATAGTGGGGATAAAATGATTGTTAACACTTTTTTAATATTTTACTTTATCAGTAATATATGTAATACATAATGTTTACATTCCTTATTTGAAGTTGGTACATGTATATAACACTTTAATTGCTTTCTTCATTCCCTGGGCATGGTGGAAAATGCCTGTAATCCCAGCTACTAGTGAGGCCGAAGGAGGAGAATCACAAGTTCCAGGCTAGCCTGGGAAACTTAGACCTTGAAAATGTGCTAAGTCAAAATGCAGTTAATGCACTTAATCTACCAATCATCACAGCTTATATGCACCTATATCACTGTATCAGCTGCTCACTCTCATCGTCCTTTGGCTACTGGGAAGCTGCAATTCACTGTAGCTGCCTAGCACTGAGGTGGTCACACGTATTGGTAGCACAGGAAAAGATCTAAATTAAAAATAGCACTGTGCACACATGTGGGAGCGTGTGGGGATGGGTACTAAACCCAGGGCCATGTGCTTATTAGGTTCAATTACCAACAGAGCCAGTAGTAGGGCTTTGCTACAGAACAGAATTTAAAAATCTTAAGTTGAATCATTATCATTTGGGGGACTGTACTTGTACATTCTTACTCATTCCTAAGGTTTCAGTCATTATTCCATAGCCAGGCCACCTCTCTTCTCTAACAGAGCTTTACAGTTAATATGAATGAAGATTTTTCCCACGTGCAAGTGTCAAATCAGCTGTAAGATGTCTAGAGGCTGGCCTTTCACGTCCACAGCAATGTGCAGAAATCAGTGCCTAATCTTAGATTCCTCCATTCCCTTCATTCAATCATCATATTTTTCAATCTATTTCCCAAATACTTAATTTTTGGTGTTTCTCTAGTCCTTCTGCTTCTACTACTCTGACTTAGGTTATTTTTAAATCTCATTTGTATTTATGGAAAAAGTCTCCAAGTCTATCTATGTTCATAACTATCACCTTCAATTCATTGTTCTCACTGCAGGAAGCAAGAATGATTTTGTAAATTGTAAATCTGAAAGCTTCACTTTCTTGCTAAAACCTTTTGCCTCAGGATCTGAACTGATTCTTAAAGACTTTTCTAGCCAGTCTCCTGCCATGCCTCAATTTATAGAAGATACATACTCCACAAAGGTACTTTCGGTTCTCCTAAGGCAAAATGCTCTTCTGATCTCTAAATGTTTTAAATGAAAAATGAAGCCAAATTCTATACATTTTTGGGGGGACAGCAATGCAAATCAAACCCAATGGCTCACATGTGCTAAACAAGCCCTCCACCACTGTGCTACGCCACCAAAATTCTACACATTTCTAAAGCCACAGGGGCGGGGAAAACCTAACAAGAAACACAGTTAAGAGCATGAATAAGTAAGTTGTTAAATTAGATATATGAACAACCGAGCTCCAGGCCAAAGGAGAAGTGGGTAAGGAAGTCCCTGTATCATGGCTGATACAAAGCAGACTGCCCGCAAATCCACCATTGGTAAAGTGCCCAGGACACAACTGGCTACAAAAGCCACTAGTAAGAGTGCTCTCCCTACTAGAGGAGTGAAGAAACATCATTGGTAGAGGCCTGGGACTGTGGCACTGTGTGAAATTAGATGTTATCAGAAGTTCACTGAACTTCTGATCTGAAAACTCCCTGTCCAGTCTGGTGTGAGAAATTGTTCAGGACTTCAAAATAGATCCGTGCTTCCAGAGTGCAGCTATCGGTGCTTTGCAGGAGGCAAGTGAGGCTTATCTGGTTGGCCTGTTTGAAGATACCAACGTGTGTGCCATCTATGCCAAACCTGTAACAATTATGCCAAAAGATATCCAACTAGCACACTGCATATGCGGACAACGTGCTTAAGAGTACACTACGGCGGGAAACGTTGCATTCTGAAAAAAATTTTTTTTCTCTTCCTATTATTGGTGGTTCTGAATGTTAGATTATTTTTTCCCCATGGGGTCAAAAGGTACCTAAGTACATAATTGCGAGTGGAAAATAGGGGACACAAATCAAGTATTAGCAGTTTTTCCATTTTCACTTGTGTGTGAAATTTTAATATTAATGTGGGGATGTAAAGCATTACAGCAAGTCAAAATGTTTCAGTGAAAAGTTTCGGCAATTCAACTTTATAACAATTATAAATAAACCCGTTAAATTTTTCTGGACAATGCCAGCATTCTAATTTTTTAAAAACAAGTAAACTTTTTATTGATGGCAACTAAATGGTGTTTGTAGCATTTTTATCATACAGTAGATTCCATCTAGTCACTATACTTTTCTGAGTTGTCTTACATGCTAGTACATGTTTTTAATGTTGTCTTTCTGTGCTGTTCCTGTAAGTTTGCTGTTAAAATACATTAAACTGTTAAAAAAAAAGAAATATGAATGACCAAAAGCCCATTTTTAAAGAAAATCTCAATATCATTAACACACAACATGATTGATTCTTTGCTGTGAAGCTAGTAAACAAACACCTAGGTCCTTCCTTCCTCCACCTTCATTCACTCCCATCAAAACGAACCTATGCTAACAAAGCCAGAGACAAACACCACCAAATTACACTTAGATACTGCTGGTAGGTTGCAAAATGCAAAATACATTGCTAAAAGTATGGGCCTTGGGGATTTACTGTATTTTGTATAATCTTACAATGTAAATACAGTGGACCCTCAAGTTATGAATGGCCTGACATATGAACAACCAGGGTTATGATTGGAATTTTAGTTTTTAACTTATGAACAAACTCTTGAGTTACAACCCAAATGACACCCACTCGTGCCTCCAGATAGTCTCAGACAGAGATTTAACCCTTAAAGAGTTCTGAAAGGAACATTACAATACCCTTTCCTGCGTGGGGTTAACTGAGAGATCCTTGGCCAATGTCCCTCTAGGGACACTGAGATCTTCTTGGAAGAAAGAATGGCCTAAAATTATATTAGAGAGAGACTTTGAAGGCAACTGACCAACTTGAGTTACAACCAGAAATACAAAGGAATTGAATTTGGAAATTGAGTCTACTGCATTTTACTTAAAATATAAAAATAATGTAATAAAATTGATAGTTCTTCCAAAATAAATCTAAAATAGCAAATCTGGCTGGTTTCAGAATAAAAACGTATTATAATAGCTTATAATTCCAATATTCTAGAATTTGAAAATTCCAGATGATAGCATTATTTTTAAATATTTTAGAATGAATGAAAAGACAATTCACTATTTTTCTATACATACTTTTTTTTTTGGTACCGGGGATTGAACTCAGGACCTTGCACTTGCAAGGCAGGCAATGGAACAACTGAGCTAAATCCCTGGCCCTGACAATTCAATATTTTAAAAATATTACAACTCAATAAGCTAGGTGTGATGGTGCAAGCTTATACTCCCACTTCTCTGAAGGCAGAGGCAGGTGGATTACTGTTAGGTGGAGGCCAGTGTAGGCTACATGGTGAGTTCGAGGCCAACCAGAACTACAGAGTGAGACCCTGTCTCAAAACGAAACAAAATGAAACAAAACCTCAAATCTTCATTTTTGGGGCTGGGGATTTAGCTCAGCGGTTCGGTGGCCTGCCATGCAAGCACAAGGACCCAAGTTCAATCCCCGGTACCAAAAAAAAAAAAAAAAAAAAATCTTCATTTTGTATTCCCACACCTGGAAATCTATTCTAACAAAAAATAGTAACAGACATCTATAGTGGTACACACCTGAGATCCTAGCACTCTAGGAGGCTAAGGCAGGAGGATCACAAGTTTGAGGCCAGCTTGGATAACTTAGCAACTTTGTGAGACCCTGTCTCAAACATAAAATTTCAAAATGGCTAGGAATGTAGCTCAATGTCAAAACAAAACCACACACACACACACACACACACACACACACACACACACCCACACCCACACCCCCCCCCAGTCAATAACGGATCTTTTTCCTACTTTCTAGTTAAAAAAAAAACAGGGAAAAACTTTTTTGTTCTGTTTCCTTTTTATGTATTTGCTTTTTTTGAGACAGGTTTTGCTATATAGTCAAGGCTGGCCTTGAGCTCACTATGTAGGTCAGGCCAACTACTAGGATCAGAGGAACATACGACTACATCCATTTGTTTTCTGAAAAAGAAACTAACTGTGTGTATTTTATTATTCTGTTTCAACCTTGATGATACTCTTTTCCATCTCATTTTAAAACTGTTCTTTTCAGAAATATTCCCAATGTTTTATGACACTTAGCAGTATTTCTACACCTTTTTTTTCCCCCTCTCAAGAAATATGGAAAAACAGCTTATAAAATTTTAATATTTGATAGCATGTGTGTAAGTACAGAGATTTTACTAACTTCGTAGCAAATGTGGGCCGGGGATTTAGCTCAGCGGTTCGGTGGCCTGCCTTGCAAGCGCAAGGACCTGAGTTCAATCCCCAGTACCAAAAAAAAAAAAACCAAAAAAAAACAACTTAGCAAATGAAAAGCAAAAGAAGTTGCTTTCATGTTCAAACATGAAAGCAATTACAGATTAAACCTACTGTCTAAAAAGTACTCACCTTTTCCCTCCAAAGTCTTATTCTTACTATTATTATTATTATTCTTACAAAGTGAGTCCATGGACAACAACAAAACCAACCAACCTCAGGGCAATGCCTTGGGTTCAACCCCTTCAACCCCAGAGTTCAAAGGGAGAAAGATCATCCTCATGGGGAAGATGAAGACTTGTCCCTATAAGGAGGCAGGACCACACCCAGTCTTTGACAGCTTGGATAAAACATTCAGGAAATTAAAAAGATATGCTTCCAGGCTGGGGATTTAGCTCAGTGGTGCCTTGTCTGCCTCTCAAGTGAAAGGTCCTGAGTTTGATTCCCAGTATGGGGGAAGAAGGGGCAATCTGCTTCCAAGAAAGCCTGGTACTATATACACAAAGTAATAGGAACAAATATAAGTATGTATTCTAAATACATACTCAGAATAGTTAAAGGTAGCAAATTATTTAAAAATCACCCTCATGATAGATACGACCTATATGCTTCTTACTAAAAAACAAATATTAATTCATACTTCATAATCTGGTCCTCCAAAGTGGGATTTTTTCTTAAGTTCTGTCATTGCATTTTTGCATGCTTCTTCTGTTCTTCTTCTCTTCTCAGCTTCCTATAAAAAATAAAGAAAAAGTTATCATTTGAAGTTGACATTTTAATTACAACAAAGTGGACTTCCTTTGCATTTTGGCGAAATTTTGTAATTTGTTAAAAAATAACTCCACTCCTAATAAGAATATTATTCTGCCCAATGAACACTTTTCCTTGGGTTATATATTACATACAAGCTACCACTTAAGTTACCTTATAACTAGGTTACATACTTAAATGATTCCTAAACTATCCAGATGTCTAAGGTATACTTAAAAAAGATAAATCAGCACCAGATAAATGCCCACTAGAGATTTCTGCATTCTTTTCCTAAGTAAGAGCTGTGTTTTTGGTACCAAGATAATAAAAGCAACTACTTGATGAGAAGAAAGAAGTCAGTTAATAGATGGAATCAGTAAATTCTAAAATGAAATTCTAAGATGACAAACTTTCTTACTGCTGAAGAGGACTATTTTGGAGCTCAAAAGATTTATTTAGATTTAACCATCTTGACCCTCTCCTTTTATAGACAGGGCCTGCAGAACTAAAAGGCCAACACTTTAAATAACAAAAGCAGGCCCAATCTCAAATTTAGTACATTGGGTGCATTGGGTCAAATCTGATACAATACTGAAATCCAGCAAGCTCATAAAAACCTAATGATTTTCTTCCCTCACTTCAAGGACTTAATGACTACAGTTCACATGAAACGCACACAAAGGTAATTACTTCTAAATACTACACTTGGGTTAAAGCTAGTACAGATAATTAGTTTATTAGACCCAAATGCTTAATTAATGATTTTTGTATACTGAAAGGCCCACCAGAAAAAAAAACAAAAAACACCAAAAACCAAAAAAGAAACAGCCAGGTGTTTTTGTGTATACCTGTAATCCTAACATTCAAGAGGCTAAGGTAGGAGGATTGTTGTGACTTTAAGGCCAGCCTGGGCTACACAGTGAGTTCAAGGTCACCTTTAACTACAAAAGGAGAATTTGGCTCAAAAAGCAAACAAAACAAAAAACAAAAACAAAACAAACAACAACAAAAAAAAAACTAGAATACAAAGATATGAACAAACAAACACACACACACACACACTTAATAATAAATGCTATTAAGAATGAAGAGAGGGCCCCGCCCTCCCCTGCCAGGCTGCCGGCAGTGCTCCAGCACCAGGAAGGTAGCCGCGCTGGCACCCCTGAACAGCCCCCCACCCCTGCACTCTCAGACCTCTTGATTGTGCCAGTCTTTGGACCCACTCTGCAGAGGCAGAGGTGGTCATAAAGGGTATTTTTCTGAGTTCCTAAGTTTGGACATCTTTAAAGAAAGGGCGTGGGAAACCGGTAGTAGAACTGTATGGAGTTCAAACGTTCAGGAGGTTGGGGAACTCAATCTGGGCCTTGCAGCCTGAGGTCAGCCTGCGTCGTGGGGTTCTGCCATCAGCTAGCTGAGATTAGGGGTCTTGCGTCCTAGCTCTGTCTGAGCCCCCATCCTAAATGGCCATACTACTGAAACTGCTATACAGATTCAATGCAATGCCAATTGAAATTCCAACACTATATTTCACAGAACTAGAAAAAATCCAAAAATTCATTTGGAACAATAAGAGACCTAGAATAGCAAAAGCCATCCTAGGCAACAGACACATGGCAGTGGGTATAACAATTCCCAATTTGAAACTATACTACAAAGCCACTGTGATAAAAACAGCATGGTACTAGCAAAGAAACAGATCTGAGGATCAGTGGAACAGACTGGAAGACACAAAAACAAATCCAGATGTATTCAGCAACCTCATCTTTGACAAAAAAGCTGACCATACCCACTGGAGGAAAGATAGCCTCTTTAATAAATGGTGTTGGAAAAACTGGATCTCAACCTGCCAAAGATTAAAACTCGACCCTTATCTTTCACCATGCACTAAATTAAAATCCAAGTGGATTAAAGATCTAAGTATTAAAACAAAAACACTAAACTTGCTGGAAGATAAGTTAGGCAGAACTCTTGAAGACACTGGCATAGGAAAAGACTTTATGAACAAATCCTCAGTAGCATGGGAACTAGCACAAAGAATCAACAACTGGGATCTCATCTTATTAAAATGCTTCTGCACTGCAAAAGAAACCATCAACAGAACTAAGAGACAACCTACAATGTGGGAAAAAATTTATACCAGCTGCTCCTCAGACAAAGGACTACTATCTAGAATATATAAAGAACTCAAAACAATCAGCCCCCCAAATATAAAGACCCCATTCAAAAATGGGCATCTGAAATGAACAGCCATTTCTCAGACAAAGAAGTAAAAGCAGCAAGTAAATATATGAAAAAAAGTTCCACATCACTGGTCATTCCAGAGATGCACATGAAAACAACACTGAGATTCCACCTCACCCCACAAAGAATGGCTGCTATCAAGACATCAACCAATAACCAATGTTGGTGGGGTTGTGGGGAGAAAGGAATCCTTCTCCATTGTTGGTGGGAGTGCAGACTGGTGCAACCACTATGGAAATCAATATGGAGATACCTCAAAGAGCTAGGACTAGAAGTTCCATTTGACCCAGCCTTCCCTCTGCTGGGTATCTTTCCAAAAGAATTAAAGGAATCATACCACAGTGATATATGTGCACCCCTATTTATAGTGGCACAGTTTGTAATAGCTAAAACTTGGAAATAGCCCATTTGCCCATCAGTTGGAAATTGGATAAAGATGTGGTTTTTCTATAAAATGGAATATTACTCAGCCATAAAGAATGAGAAATTAGATTCATTCATAGGAAAATGGATACATATTGAGGATATACTCCTAAGTGAAATAAATAAGGCACACATGTGTAAATACTGAATAGTTTCTCCGGTGTGAAAAGCTATAATAGTACTTAAGACCCTAATGAGATAACTAACCATGTGAAATAGGAAGAAAAGGGCTAAAGGTGTAGGGAAAATGGGAAGGGTAGGGGAAAGGTAATAAGGGAAAAGAAAAACAATATGACAAAATGAAAAAATGGAAATAAAGTGTTTGCAAATAGTGAAGGGCGGAGAAGGTGAAGGGAGGGCTGGGGTAAGGAGAAAAAAATGAGAATCAAGACCTGTCATGTAAAGGTACAAGATCCCAATGATGAATGTAACTGTACTGTATACCTAAAACGTATCAACAAACTCAATAAAAGAAAAAAAAAAAGGAATGAAGAGTGCCTGGTGTGGTGGCAAACGCCTATAATCCCAGCAGTAATGTGGAGGCTGAGGCAGGAGGATCACCACAAGTTTGCCAGTCTGCACTACATAGTGAGTTCAAGGCCAATATGAACTACATAGTGAGATCTTGTCTCAAAAAACAAAACAAAACAAAACCTCCCCAAAAAGAAAAAGAAAAGTAATTGAAATGTTTATCTCTTGACGTAGGAACATAAAGTAATAGAACCACTTTGGAAAATTGTCAATATCCACTAAAGCTAAGTACATACCCCATACTCCAGTAATTCCTCTGTCAAGTTTATTTCTAACAGAAACGCAAAAAATAAAAGCACCTAACTGTGCACTGACAGGAAAATGGATAAACTGAAGTCACACACTGAAAATTCATCATACAATGGAGTATTATAAAGCAACAGAAATAAACTATCACTAAATATAACAATATATAGGAATTTCACAGTCAATGCTGAGGAAAAAACATCAGGCACAAGGGTACAGCATCTAATTTCATTTATATGATGGCTAAGCACAGGAAAAACTAATTTACGACGATATAAATTAGAACATGGTCACCTTTTGGAGTAATGGTATGATACAGATTAGGAAGGGGCATAAAGGAATATTCTAGGGTGCTGGAAAAGTTATATTCCTTGATTTGAGGGTGATTACAGAGTACATAGGTATGTTTAACATAAAAACCAAGTAGTGTGCTTAAATGTGGTATATCTCACTAAATGTATGGTATACCTTAATTTTAAAAAACAGAACAAAAACATACAACACAGTAACAACACTAAACAGACCTAGGTAAAGGAAAAAGCACATGAAATCACACACCTGTAAATCTATCAATGTAAGCCAACTGACATAAATGAACAGATTTTTCTGTTAACTAAATGGTTTAAATTTTTTTGGTTTTTCTAGATATGATGGGTCAACCATTGAGTATACTTTTATAATAGAAGTGTTATTTATTTTCATTAGTATATGTTTGCAGTGCATAATTTTTATATCCCTTATGTGAAGTTGGTACATACACATAACACCTCTTAATTCCTTCTTTCATCTTGTTCTCTCCCTTTCCCCTGCTCCATCCCTTAATCTCCTTTCCATTAGAGAAAGATCTATTTCCCTACTTCCTATTGCTCTTTATTTATAATTTGGGTTTTTCGTATAAGAGAAATCATGTGATATTTAAACTTGTGTCTTAGTCACTTCACCTTAACATTATGGTCTCAAGGTACATCTATTTGCCTACAAATGACTCAAGTTTATCCATCTTTATGGAAGAGTAGTACTCCATTGTGTGTAAATACTACACTTTCTTTATCCACTCATCTGTTGATGGACAGAGATTTTATTATAGGCAACCATAAAAATTATCACCACTGAATAATATTCATTTTCCATCACCTGAAATAATATACTGATATTAAAAATCTGCATAAAACAATAATATAATTAAATACTATTACACAACTGTTGCCATTATCACTGGTTTAATTGCTCTCCTTATATTTTACTCCTTGAGGGACTATTTCCCACTCACTGCTGTTTCTCCATCGCTATCTTATACTCTTCAATGAAGCAAAATCAATGAAATTATATTGTTTTTAGTGTACTTCCCCCAATTTTATGCATCACTCAAAAGAGATATTGATAAACTTCTTATATTCAAGAATTTTCTAGTTTTCTTTATTGAATGTGTGTAGTGTGTACCCACACTCAATCAAGACTAGTTCAGTTCTTGAATAGTTCTTTATTAAATACACATAATATATGTATATATACATATACTTACACATACATACTGTGTACACACATGTGCATGCACACACACACACAAACACACTTACATTCCATGTAAAATGTAACTGGAATCCTTTCATTTCAACCTTAGAAAAAAATTATGGTGCAAAAGGTAAATATAATTTGATATTGTAGAGACCTGTAAGAGGACCACAAAATAAAGTAGATTCCAGATTTGAATTAATAACTGCCATCTTTTGGGGCTTTTTGGTTAAAAATGCTACATGATAAAGCAACAAAAATATTCTTTTTTCATAGATTCTTTAGTTTGCTCTACTTATTGCTACCTAAGAAAGAAAGAAAATGGATAAAAATCAAGAACGAAAGTAATAATAAAAAAAATCCACCTTCCTTTTCAACACAGCAAAAAATCTGAATGCTGAAAAGTTGATGTTACATAATACAAAAAATGTTCTTAAAGAAACTGTTTAATGAGCATTTCTGAGGCACTGTGATTAAATATATGACTGAAGAATATGAGTCTCTTAATGATGGACAGAGGAAATTTAGGAGAAAGCTGCCAAAAAGCTGCAAAAAGAGGCTAGTCAGGATGAGCTGAACCATACTCTTAAACCAGTTCTCTAATTAATGCTAAGATGTCCTGTATTTCAATATATTATTTGTTGTGCGCACAGGGATGCTTTTAACAACTGTGAGCCACATTGAGTGCTGAGTTGAAATACTTAAAAATATAATAGTTTGGCTCCAGAATGATAATGAAGTGTCTACACAGTAGTCTCCCTTATCTGCAGTTTCCCTGCAACATATTGTCCACGGTCAACAGGAAATGTAAGGACAGCAGAATATGATTCTGAGAGGACACAGTGTATCATTATAATTGTTCAACTTTAATACTGGCTATTGTTTTAATCTTTTACTGTACCAAATTTATAAATTAAACTATCATTAGTGCAAATATAGAAAAAAAACAAACCAACATATATAGAGGGCTTGGTCCTATGTGTCTGTCCTATTAAACATCCACTCAGGGTCTTGGAATGTATACTCCACAGATGAAAGTGTTCATACTCCTATTCAACAGGGCTTAGTCTCACATGCACTTGAGAATTCTGAACATTTTTTTTTTCCTAAAATATAATCTTCTTAAACACATAGTGCTTTTAAAATCCTCTGACCATTATATCGGGTGACACTTTTTTTTCCTTTAGGGTCTTGTTCCAATTGAAAGACTTTCAAACCCTGCAAGCAACAAAGCTTTCTGATGAATAAAGTTCTGACTGATGTCTAGCTTGGTATACAACAAAACTGATGTATCAGAGTAGAGAAAAATTTCTTTAACTGTGTTACTTAACACTTGGGCCAAGTTTCTGAGTTCAGTTTCTGTTTGGACCCAAACTAAATTGTCTAAGGTATGTTTTCACTGCTAACATTTTACTAAAGTTTAACTAAAAATAAAAGTTTTCCAACTAAGAAAATTTAGCGAGCCATATTTCATGCAAAAGTCAGCCACACTTTACCCTGAAAACTAGAGGTTCATACTGCAAAATTATCAGTGCTGCTGATTAAATAAAGGTGGGAAAACAGGAACAAAGGGCAAATATTCAAACAATATAATGTATGTTAAACAATATCACATTGAGCACGGGAAAAAACACATAGCTATGTGTGTAATAAGTAAATGTTTAACTATCAAGTGTTTAAATTAGCTCATATAACTTAAATAGTTTCATACTTCACACACTAAAGGTAACCAATGCTAAATGCTTCATCACTTCTATTCCAAAGCATTACTAATATGATCATAAAAATATTAATGATAAAATCACTCAAAAAAGCATAATGTATAGTAACTAAATAATTTAGGAAAATGTGTTTAGAATTTCTAAAGTGTCAGAGAATCAGTACCACCTGGTACTTTTATCAACCCAATCAACTCTTCTCTACGAACTTAATTAGTTTAAATGTTCCAATTAAATTTATATTTTAAAATCTGATTATCTTTAAAAGAAAGAAAAAACTAGTCTTACCTTATCTAGTCTCTTTTGCCAGCTTTCCTCACGTTTTACCATTAATTCAATACAATGAGAAAGTGTAGCAAGAATTCCAGCAGTAGTTGCCTTGAAGGTTATTGCTTCCCCTTTAAAGTCTATGCCATTAATTCCTTTTGGTGTTACATGTGGAAATACTGAAAAAGAAAGTATTTACTATAAAGCTTTCAAATGAAGAACTGTTCATCATAATTTAAGATTAGAAAATTTTATCATTTTCCACCTGTGGACTAACATTTAAAGTATCTCCTCCCTGCTCTAGGAGCAGGGCTTTGTGCCGTCAGATCTCCTTTTCCAGACTTTACTTCCTGAAATCTATTTGCATGCTGTGCCCAGTGAATCAAGCGGTAGGAGGAGTAAACCTTTAACAATTATACTGACAGCTTAGAGAGGGACCTAATTATGGGAAGAACCACCTTACAATTTAAGAAATCTAGAATTTAAAAATGTCCAAAGATAAAACGTAGAATTGTATAAGGAAATTTAAAACTACATATTCAAATTTAAGTATAGGACCAATGCATATATTAAAAAACTTATAATTACTTTTTATAATTCTGATTCATGGTTAACCTTTGAATTAAGTGGAAAACCTTAAAGCTCAAAACATTCAAATGAATAATATTCTACGGCTAATGAAAATTATTCTTTCTGTCCACAATTGCCCCCTGCTTACTCTGATTCCTTCAAAATCAGATTCAAAAAATTTCTAATCAAACTGTCAACCAGCTTATTTTATAGGAACACGATCACTCATCTCTCCGTTAAGCCATGTTGAAGATCAGACTGTGGTTCCAGCTCTTCATTGCCCAGCTACAACAAGATCTTCACTGGCTAATTACTCCTTAGAAGAGTCTCCAGGTGGAGTGACAGAGTGGATTACAGACCATTTTTACCAGGGAAGCTTCTGCTATTTCAACTCCCCAGAGGCCCCCTCTCCATGGTTGTGCTGCCCCTCAAGCCACTATACGTGCCTAGATCATCCCCCAACACTCCACGATCTTGCCTTCATTGCCCTCCTCAAAGCTCCTAAACAAGCAGCCCTCCAACAGCTATGTCACTCCCACAAGGGTTAAGAGATGATACAATAAAAATCCTTCCCTTGGCCTCTCATCACCCCACACCTGCCCCTTTTCAGCAGGAAGTAGCTACAGAAGAGAGACACTCCGTCCCTCTTCATGAGGCTATAACAAACAAAAAAGGGAGGAATGTAAGATAAGTGCCTTGGAATGGCAACTTCCTTCTTCACCTTAGTTTCCACTTCCTACCTCACGGTCATGAGACCAGCTCAGGAACAAGGCTTGTCTGCATAGAAAATAGATGTTCAAGAGTGGCCCCTGAGTGGCTGCCTATGCAGCCAACACAATCCCCAGCCCGCCTACACCAGTCACCCAATATATAACCAAGCCCCTTCTCTCTCCCTCCCCCCCTCTCGTTCTCTTCCCCCCAGTGGGCCACCATGCTGCCTCGGCTCCTTAATAAAGATCTCTCATAGGAGCAAAAAAAAAAAAAATTCTGATACAGCCTTTATAAAAAATGAAATACTTCTGACTTCAAAATCTCATATAGAGATAGGACAGTAAAGGTATAATCTGTAGAACAAAATGATACACTGTAGGTCATCAAAATTTAAAATTTTTGCTATTGAAGCTACTATTAAAGAGAATGAAGAGGTAAGTCACAGACAGGAAGAAAACCTTTACATGACATATATTAATCAAGAACTTGTATCCAGAAGATACAAAGTAATCTCAAAATGTAATAGTAAGCTGAGTAAGCAATAAAGAAACTGAGCAGCTGGGCATGGTGGTACATGTCTGTAATCCCAGCACTCAAGAGTCTGAGGCAGGAGAATCACTCAAGTTTGAAGCTAGCCTGGGCTACACAGTGAGTTCAAGGCTAACACAGATTACCAAGTGAAACCCTGGTAAGAGAGAGCCGGGGGGGGGGGCAAGCAAAAGATGTTTAATCAAAATAGAGGTATAAAACCACAATAAGCACTGCCTATGTATTAAAATTTAAAAGTATGATCATGCCAAATGTTGGTAGAGATGGAAAACTGGAACTCTCATTTATGACAGTTAAAAAATATCTGGCAGTGGCTCCCGGCCTGCGCGACAACAGACCCAGGAAGGACCCAAGGACCCCAGAGGGGGTTTTTTTCAGCTGCCTGCTGGCCTGCCTGTCTGCGATCACCCGGCGGCGTGCGCGCAAGCTCCCGGCCTGCGCGGGAGCTCCCGGCCTGCGTGACAACAGACCCAGGAAGGACCCAAGGACCCCAGAGGGGGTTTTTTTCAGCTGCCTGCCTGCCTGCCTGTCTGCGATCACCCGGCGGCGTGCGAGCG